ATTTTTCCTAATAGTTTTGTTGCCTCTCGAAGATAAGTATAGACATCTCCATACCGATCCGCAAGATTCTACTAAACCTGCTTATGACTCGTAGCACCTATGAACCTAGAGCTCTGATACCAATTTGTCACGACCCCAAATTCCCACCTTAGGATTTCGTGATGGCACCTAATCTCTAAGACTAGTTAAGCCTAACACATAAGAGAATTTAACAGAAACAATGACTCTAAGTATTAAATTAAACTGATAAATCTCATTATAACATCAATACTGAATAACATCACAAAATTCCCAAAATCGGTGAAACTAAGTTATAAGCTCTAAGAAGTCTAGAAATTTCAAAATACAATATTGTTTGATGTAAAGATAACAGAAGAAAAGAGAGTAGTATAAGGTGACTCTGAGGCCTGCGAGCGTCAAGAAGGTATACCTTAAAGTCTTTGAGGTATGCGTCTGACATGAGCAGAACTAACTGGATCTGTACAAAATGTGTAGAAGTTTAGCATGAGTACACCACAACGGTACTCAGTAAGTATCAGGCCTAACCTCAATAGAGTATTGACGAGGCCAGATCAAGACACCTACTAGACATAGAAACCTGTGCAAAATATTAATATAATATAATAACAAAAAACAAAGAGATAAATGACAAAAAAACAGTACGATGATATAAGGGAACAACAGAAATTAAAGCAATAAGTACAAAAAAGAATGAGCATATGATAAGAACAACAAGTAATTAGATACAGTCAAATACAAGTAAAACAAATGAAGGAATAACAATAACAATTCAATCAACAAGCCTTTTCAACATTGAATGTACAACAAGAATCACAACCGAGGAACCACACCTCATACCCACATTTCACAATTTACAATCACAATCTTCCTTATATCGCCGCGTTAGCCTTGCATTTATATTTTCTTAAAAATATTTTTCCCGAAATAGCTACACGCGCTTTAGCTCCCTTATCTCACTGCGTGTCTTCAAGTCATTTCCTACTAGAAACACGCGTATAAATTCCACATTATCTCAATACATGCACATCAACCCCTATCCTTATACCGCCGCATGCGCATCAATATCACACCACAATAATCAACTCGCACCACACGTGCCCATATGCCACAACATTGTCAAAATCAATAATACCAATGTTACCATAACACATAGCCCACGACTCAATCATAATGCGTACAAGAATTTTAATAACAACAAAGTGAACGAGAACTAACTCATCAAGGAGAGATACCCCAATAATCAATAACTTCAACCCCAATGTGTTAATAGCTTTCACAACTACAACTTCAATAATTCAACAATGAAAATATTCCCGTGAAATGTCAACTTCTAATTTAAGTGCAAAACATAAACTTAACACTTCAAGTGATAGCATGAAATAGCAACTACGACTAAATGTATGAGAATAACTCAACAACGAAAATAATGGCATGTAACAACAACTACTAATAATGCATGTAAGAGCAACCACGACAATGGAAACTAGAACACGTAATGACGACTTCAATTAAAGCATGTAAGAATAAATTTGACAATAAAAGGTGGAACAAATGATAACAACTTCAATTAAATACATGTGATTATCCTAAGAGTCTAAACCAGACAAATTCGCACTTTAAATACATGTGATTAACATCTTCAAAAGCTCGTGTGCACACTCGTTACCTCATGTACATGTCTTCCATATGATTCAAATAGTACAATCAAACCAAATCCTAAGGGGTAGTTCTCTCATACAAAGTTAGATACGATACTTACCTTGAACAAGCTAAATCAATTCACTAATAAGCCCTTCCCACGCAAATCTAACTCCGGACGGCTCGAATCTAGCCAAAATAACTTAATATCATAAATAAAAGTCATAGAAAGTAATTTCGAATAATAAAGATTCAGTCTTTAGCGAAAATCAAAAAGTCAACCCCAGGTCCACACCCCAGAACCCGGTATAACTCACAAATTATGAAAACCCATTCAATTACGAGTCCGGTCACACCAAAATCATCTAATTTTGACCTCAAATCGACCTTCAAATCCTCATTTTATACTTTAGAAAAGTTTTTACTAAAATCCCAATTTTTCCAATTCAAATCACCAATTAAATGATAAAAATAAATATGGAATCATGAATAATGGACAAATCTGAGTCAAAAATACTTACCCTGATCCAAATCATGAAACTCCCCTCCAAAATCGCCCAAAACCGAGCTTTATAATTCAAAATATGTTAAAATGAACCAACCCCTCAAAATAGAGTACTATATAATCTGCCCAGGTGTTATACTTCGTGATCGCGAGACCTACGTCGTGATCACGAAGTGCCCCAGAATTGGCTTACGCGAACGCGAGCGTCCTGTCGCGAACGTGATGCGTGACCACCTTGCCACAACACGAATGCNTCCCCCTTGATGAACTCCCTTCTACGCGAATGCGTCCATACTAGCACGATTGCGAAGATCACTGCACCCAAACCTTCATGGAAGCGACCTTCACTTCGCGAACCAACAGTTCCAAAACATGTAGAAATGGCCTGAAACTCATCCGAAACACACCCGAGGCCCCCGGGACCCCGTCCAATCATACCAACTAATCCCAAAATATAACACAAACCTACTCGAGGCCTCAAATCACACCAAATGACATCAAAACTATGAATCGTACCTCAATTCAAGCCAAATGAACTAATGAACATTTTCAAATTCAAAATTTGCACCGAACAAGCCTAAACAACTCTGAATGACCTAAAATTTTGCATGCAAGCCCCAAATGATACATCGGACATATACCAACTCCCGAAATCACAATCCGGGCATGCTATCAATAAAGTCAACCATCGGTCAAACCTCTCAACCTTCCAAACTTTCAACATTCCAACTTTCTCCAAAAAGTATTAAATCAACCTACGGACCTCCAAATCAACATTCGGACATAAGCCTTAGTAAAAAATTGCCATACGAAGATATTGGAGCCATCAAAATACAATTTCGGAGTCGTCTACACAAAAGTCAAACTCCGATCAACTCTTATAATTAGGGCCTTTAACTCAGGGACTAAGTGTCCCAAATCAATCCAAAACTCACCTGAAACCAACCAATCACCCCGACAAGTAGCGTAACCACAAACACACATAGAAGAGGCAATAAATAGGGGAACATGGCTATAATATACAAAGCGATTGGTCGGGTCATTACAACATTATTGTTGAGTCGTGGGTTATATCTTGTTGTGACTTTAGTATTAATATTGTGGCGCATGTGTACGTGTGATGCGGGTGATTGTTCTTGTGTTGAGTATAAGGGTGGCGAGATGTGCATAAGGCGACATAAGGGTGGTGTTATTTATGCGCATGCGGCGAGATAAGGGGGCTTATGCGCGTATTGCAAGTAAGGAAAAATACTTCATTGTCATGCACACGCGGCGAGATAAGGGGGCTTATGCGTGTGTAGCTATATAAGGGAAATATTTCATGTGAAGCTCATGCGATATCATAAGGGTGATTTGTGATTATGTAATGTGGAATTTCAGGGTGATTCTTGTTGTTATTCTTGTGTTGAAACGGTTGATGATTTGAACATGTCATTATTTTCCTTAAGTGATTTCACTTTGTATTTTACGTATTTTGGTCACTTTGTTGTGTTATCACATGTCTATTCTTTGTTGCTATTTATTTGGTTATACTTTCTATTATTTAGTTTTATTATGATATTCTATACAAGGTATTTGTCTAGGTGTCTTGACTTGAATTTCGTCACTACTCCACCGAGGTTAGTTTTGATACTTAATGGATACCGCTGTGGTATACTCATACTACGCTTTTATATATTTTTGTGCAGATCCAGGTACCCCCAGAGCGTGCTGGTCGTTAGTGAGTTGATCCCTAGTTGCTGGAGATTTCAAGGTATGCATGTTGTTCAGCTCGCAGGCCTCAGAGTCACCCTCTTTAGTTGCTTTAATATTGTTTATGTATTCCAAATAATGATGTACACTTTGATACTTATCATGTATTTCTTGTAGAGCTTATGACTCAGTATTACCGAATTTTGAGATTTATGACTATTGTATTCCGCTTTTGGTCATATTATGACACTCTTCAACTTTCATTAATATTTAAGTTGGTATTTTCTGTTGATCTCATTATGTGATAGGCTTATCTAGTCTTAGGAATTATGTGCTATCATGATCCTTAAGGTGGAATTTTTGGTCGTGACACCATTGTACATGTTATTGTACTCCATTTGGTAAATATGACGGTATTTGTCTCGACCCATATGGCGGTAAATATTGGGGGGAGGGGGGGTGCGCGCGCTTGTGCGTGTGCATGACTTCATTAAGAGTAAAGTAGAAATTTTAAAAATAAATTATTTCTAAATAAGAAAATACCATATTTTTTTGGTACTGACTAAAATAATAGTGCCACATAAATTGGAACAGACGGAATACCATTTTTTTTGTCGTGAGTGGAGCAAATGACGTCCCTTTTTAGGTAGGTTTAAATAGTCTCTTAAAATATTCTTGTACAATTATAGCCTTGTAAGTTTGCTAAAAGTACTTTTAGTATTCGTCCAATATTTAATAATCATGACTGTTAGATTTAACTGAAACTGTTTTAAACTATTAGTAGGGAGAAAGTTTTGCCAAATTCTAGAAATTGCAACACTATACTACACTTGACACATGAAAATATATCAAAAAATAGTAGAAACGATAGAAAATGAACATCCAAATATGAGTTCTCGTTAATTTGTTTTTTTATTAAAATTAACAATCAAGAATTTGTTAAATATTTGACGGAAATAAAAAGTGCAATGCTCACAAACTTTAAGGACTAAAAAAATGCTAAGACGCTATTTAAAGGACTATTTTGAATCTACTTCAAACATATGAGACCATTTTTGTCATTTTCTCTTGTATGTGTTTTTTTTTTTTTTTTTTTTTTTTTTGGTTGGGCAATTAGCCATTGAAATAGCGGGACAACTGAATATAGATGGCTAGATGCTTACACCGGGGACGGCCTGAGATCAGATTGGTGGTTAGTTAGCGTAAAAGATGGAGAAGGCGGCGAAGCCAAGGGGCCGACTGTGTACCCTCTGTAACGAAAAACGCGCCGCGCTTAAACGCCCTAAAACCCTTGAACAAGTACTCTGACGCTCCCTCCTCTTCATTGTTCTTCTTTTTTTCCTTTTCTCATTTTGAAGAGCTAAAGTTTTATTCTTTTTTCCCAAAAGATATGCAGGGAGTGTTTTTACGCAGTGTTTGAAGATGAGATTCATAGGGTTATTGTGGATAACCAGCTTTTCAAGCCTGGGGAACGTATAGCTATTGGAGCTTCCGGTGGAAAAGGTGAGCTAATATAAGATAGACACACTTTACTTATTAGTTCGTTCCAAAAAGAATGACACATTTCTACAATTAGAAATAATTTAACTTTACACTCGTCATTTTATCCATTTTACCTTAAGAATCTTATGTAACCACACAAATGTCATGCACCACAAAACTTTTACTACTTAAACTTTTAAGACCCAAGTTTTAAAAGTCTTCTTTTTCTTTTTAAACATAGTCGATACCTTCGACCAAAACTTTAAAGTTTTTATACCATCATGGACAAAAAATTGTTAACATACAGTGACACTATTTCCGTATTAATCTATTCCAAAAGGAATGACATATTTCTATAACTGGAAACAATTAACGTTACACTTCCCGTTTTATACTTAATTAAAGGCTTTTAGAACTACACAAATGTTATGGAATGATTTAGACACCAGTTTCAAAAAGTCTTTATTTCTTTCATAAACTTCATGCCGATTCAAATCATGTCACATAAATTGGAATGGAGAGAGTAGTATTACCCTTCTTTACTCTCTTGTGAATGTTCTAAAACAATCCACTATCACTTACTACTAAGCATGGATCTTTACTGTATATTGCAAGCCTTGTTAAGCTTGTCGAAATTGGTACGTCTTCACCCTGGTTAATGTGTTGTTGTAAATTGCCCCATAGTGGAGAGCTGCTCTTTTAATTGGAATTGGGTAGAATGTTTTTCTTTTTTAATGATGATGGTGTCCGTCCAGCTCACGTACAACTCGACTATTCCATCAGATATCTGCTATCTCCAAACAACACAGTTATCAAGTAACTCTGCCCATAAAGGCTTAGACACATGTGATGAATTCACCTTGTGTTTGTCTCTACTAGGACTTGAACCTTAGAACTCATGGTTCTCCTCCCGCTTCATTGACCGCTGGCCACACCCTTGGTTGCTGCACAAAATATTTTCCATATGTGAAAGTTGCTGGTTCATTTTAAGCATGCTTTCTTTTGTACGTGATGAATTAGCCTCAATTGTGATGGCAATCTTTTTTTTTGCAGATTCAACAGTGCTTGCATATGTAATGTCAGAGTTGAACCGTAGACACAAATATGGATTGGATCTCTTCTTACTATCAGTGGATGAAGGCATAACTGGTTACAGAGACGACTCTCTTGAAACAGTCAAAAGAAATGAATTACAGGCATGGAAAATCTTTTAAAGCTGTCAGTTTAAATCATAGGTCTCGTTAAATAACAACTAACTCTGTAATCTATCCTATGCTTCATCTTTATCTTTGGCTTTTCTCGCTAACCTATGAGAGCAAAACTGCATGAACGCCAAGCTTATCTCGCGTGTTTTTCTTAACTTGACCAACATAGTCTGTGTATGTCTTAGGACATAGCTTGTTTTTAGCCATCTTGTGCTAGATGTTACAATCCTTTGATGGAGGTGAATGGAACCTTGTCTTTTGTAAACCATAGTGCCTAAACTAGTCATAACGAACTTCAAATATGAAATATTGCAGTTGTTGCTGCTATTCTTCCTATATTATTGTCAAACAGCAGAAAAATCCCAAAGTTTTACCTCTCTTCCTTTACCAGCATCTTAGCTTGAACCATCTCATTCAAAGTAGCTAAGTCAAGAATGGTTCTTGCATGGTAACAGACAATTTTATCTGCACTTTCATGACAGAAGGACAATGTAAAAGTATATGATCGCGACTCTTTTATACTTCCAGGGTCAGCAAACATTCAATAGGAACTTGCTATGTCCAAACATTCTCTGGCTTAGGATAGTGAGGATTCATATAGTCGATCCAACTAACTTGGTTTTGGGGTGTAGTTGTTTATTCTAAATTGAGAAGCCCACATCTTCCACCAATATCTCTTGGTTCTCTGACTATAGCTTTTTTCTCCTCTAATGATGGTGTTCGTCCAGTATAATTTTAAATTGCTACTTTAGCATCACATTAGCATCTGTAGTTGTCATTTTCCGGGTGTTAAGATGGCATTGCAGCATCTAGAGTTTCTACACTAGATGAGTTTGATTTTTTGACTAATTTTTAGCCTCTATATCCACTCAATTTTATTGTGACAGTGTTATTGTTGTCTTCTCTTTTCAGTATGGACTTCCTCTAAAAGTAGTTTCCTACAGCGAATTGTATGGTTGGACAATGGATGAAATAGTGAAATTGATAGGCTTGAAGAATAATTGCACATTTTGTGGTGTTTTTCGTCGGCAGGTAATTTGACATACTTGCATTTGGGTTTAAGGATTATATTTTTCATAAATGTCTCCAACGTCTGGACACACATTTCGCACCTTCCCAGCAATCTCTATGTAATATATGTCATTGCATATAAGGTACATGCAAGAGTACAAACTAAGTTTTGAAATATGTGGAATTCTATTCTGTGGCTGACATAGTTTTCTGTTTTTTACTTAGAGTGACCAAGCTTAGTCCAGTCTCCTGAAGTTGCTTTCTTTGCATTCTTCTTGTAGTAAATATGTTTGGAATACTTTCCATTCCCCTAGAAGTTGCAGTTTCTTGAAACTTCTTCTTCGAAACTGGTAATATATGACAGTGATTAGTTTTTGTTTGTAAGGCTCTTGATCGAGGTTCTGCGTTGCTAAAGGTAGACAAGCTTGTTACCGGACATAATGCAGATGATATTGCTGAAACAGTCCTTTTAAATATTTTACGAGGTGATATTGCAAGGTAAAAGAAAAAATGCAATTTAGTTCTCTTTTAAGATTCTCTTCCTCTTTTCCTTCCCCAAATTATTGATAGGCCTTTTACCTCTAACAAACCAGGTTGAGTAGATGCACATCTATAATTACTGGAGAAGACGGGCCAATACCAAGATGCAAGCCTTTCAAATACACATATGAGAAGGAAATTGTCATATATCCTTTTCTAGGTTTTATTAGGCTACCCCTTACTATATCCCCCAAGGAGCTGCTTCTTCCTCAGTTAAATCTTAGTTTTCTGATTGTGATCACTTATGATTGTCTTACCTTAACTTGCTGTTTACGTACGCATACTTTAAAAAGCTGGACTACTTCTCTACAGAGTGTAAGTGTATTCTCTTTCCGTCAACATTCAGTTATAGTTCTAGGACTTCCGGTCTTCTTTATTTGCTGATATTATTTCCGTTCTCTTTGTTGAAGCTCTTTATTGTGTGTTGTGTGCATGCTGGTCCACCTTATTCTTTCTTTCCCTCCTTTACAATAGAAAGAAGCGCAGGTGTTGTTAAAGAGGTTTTTGAGAGAAAGTGACAGTATGAACATGTCTTAAAATTGCTACATCTTAGAATAGTTCAGTATTAAAAATTTCTCTCCACATCTGGTAATTCTATATGCCCTTTACTGAACAAAATGATAGTCATGTACCATATACTATCTACATTACAAAAATGCATTTCAGATATATTTTGTCTAGAATATATGAAAGTAGCAACATCTGAACTACCCAAGTACTTCCCAACCACATTATGATTGATCTACTTTTTAGCTTAGTCTGTAGCAAAAAGTTGACGTCTTTCTTAACATTTTTCGGTGTGAAGATCCACCAGTATAGACCTAATACTACCTTGTATTGTTCCATAATGTGATATTTTTCGGCCAACTGCTTCACTTCTTCAAACTATTGTTAGAGCTCTTCTTTATCAATCTCAGTATAATAATAAATCGACAAGATTTTACTCTTAAGCTCTGTGAGAGTTGACCAATTAATGATCATCTATTGGTAATAATTTTCTTGTATGACATGCATATAATGTCTGTATTACTAAGTTGCTCGAACACGGGTGCGGGTGTTCGACACGGGTGCAGATCTAGAGGTCGGACCTTCGAGATGTAAATTCTAAGATTCGGTGACACCGGATCCTAGTACGGATATGGGTGCTGGGATCCGGCTAAAAATAATTCAAAAATATAAAAATATATAATTATGAGAAATTTTGTGGAATACTTATGTATAGCTTGTAAAGTGTGGATTTCTTGTTTATTCTCAACTTGTAGTTAAGTAAAGGATTGATTTCCTAGATAGATATGCTATTTTCTTCAAATTTACCCTAGTTTTGGTTCTGATTTCGAGAATCAAATTGTATCTCATCTCGAATTTTCCCGTCCGTTGCGGTCAAAGTACCCAAATTGTTTGATCAAATCCGATACGGATCCCATACCCACACCCATACTAGTGTCGTGTCGACACAGGTACGGCACCTAAACTGCCGTGTCGGAGCAACTTAGCTGTATTATAATATTTGAACTTTTTACCCATGCCAGCCCTTTGTCCATCTATTGATTATGGTTTTACGTTCATTCCTGGTTGTGGGACATTTCTTTCACGTATGTATTGTGAAGGTCCGAGCATTCAATGTCGTTGAGGCTTCATCTCTACTGCATGTGTCAAACATATTTTCAATATAATTGTCTGGAATGAGTGGCAGCAGCAAGTGCTTGTTTCCTTTAGATGCCATATGATCCAATACTGAAGTCATCTTACTAATTTGTTTTAGCTTGTCATATCCTTGTGCATCATCCTAAAAAGTTAGCTGTTATGAAAATGCAGGTATTTATTCCCCTAATGCTTACCGTGGCTTTGCTCGTGAGTTCATTAAAGATTTAGAAAGAATAAGGTAGTTCCCAATTGAAAGTCTTCCAGAAAAGAAAGTTTCTTTAAAAGTGCTTTCTGTGGTGTATAAATTAGTCTTTCTGTGGATGCAAAATGCTTTTTTTCTTGACAAATAACTATGTAATCATGATGACAGACCAAGAGCCATTCTTGACATTATCAAATCAGGTGAGGACTTTCGGATCTCCACCTCTACAAAGATGCCAGAACAAGGAAATTGTGAAAGATGTGGTTATATATCCAGCCAGGTAAAGATGATTCTTCTAGTGCCTTGCATTTTGCAATACTCGAGTTCTAGCATCTATCTTGAAGTATAATTTGTTCAGATGATCAGTATGCTTTCCCCTTTACTGGTTATTACTTCTTTCAAGATGTAACTCGTAAGTGCTGTCATTGGACTATGATACATCAATTCCTATGCACTAGCAACTTGACTGGTTAAACTTTCTTCTGAATAATTTTATATCCGTGCTGAATTAGATTTATTTGATGTCCCTGCTCCTGTGAGTGATTCCTTGTCATTAGCTGTAATTTGATTTTCCTTCTTGTAGGCATGTTATAAACGATATTTGTTCTTACTAGTTGTACAGAAAAGGACTGCTTGTTAGTAGTTGCATTTAACTGAATTGAGTCCTCACTGGTACATTCCTCGTGTAAATCTGCAGAAATGGTGCAAAGCATGTGTCTTGCTTGAGGGCCTCAATCGTGGCTTGCCGAAGTTAGGCATTGGGCGGAGTCGAGATCTTGATAACAAACGTAATACTAACATGAAACAAGCTAATGGAACACAAAATTTACAGAGCAAACAGTGTGGAAGCTTGGACTTTTGAATCATCATATAACTGTATAATCGTTGTATGAATTCTCAGTGGTGATCATTGCGATCTTTGGTTGAAACAGCTAAAAGAACGGCTTTAATTCAGGGTACTGCATTAACTATGTATCCGAGTTTGTTGCATTTATGGAGGTCTGAAAGAAGCCTCCTAAGTCCATCCTGCAATTTTATTCAAAAGCTTTTAATAACGTTCTTTTCAATTATATACTTCAATTTATCACTATGGGATTAAGCTGGGGTTTTTTTTGTTGTTGTAGTACTTCAATATATCAATGATCCAATTAGAATAAGAATTCCATCACCTCCACCTATAAAACTATGTAAAGGATACTGAATATATTTTAGTATATTCAACTGCAAAGGATACTGAATAGAACAACCACAGCTTCTCCGTAACAAGAGCACGTTATCTCACTGTAACACTTGAGCAATACAAATTAAAAGCCTCATATCAATTTGAAATTCAGAGTTAAGAAACTCAAGGTCTCTAAGGATTTTCAACAAATGTACAATGAAGATGAGCTAAAATATATGGAGTATAAGCCATATGGAAGTCCTCTTCAGCGACTGACTTCTTGCGCAACATGGGACTCGTCTTTGGCAACTATGACATCTCGCGCACCACAAAATTCTGTGTTAAGAAATTCAAGGGTTTATCAATGGGTTTTCAACAAATGTACAATGAACATGAGTTAAAACATATCGAGTATTAGCAAACATGGGAGTCCTCTTCGGCGACTATGACTTCTTGCGCACCCCTTCATTAACAATGATCCAGCATTTCCTGCATATTCCATCCCAACTTCGTTAATTTACATGAAAATATAGCCAAGAGGCCTCATCCTAGGGCTTTTCAGAACATCAAACTACATTAGATCAATTTCAAATGTAGATAATAAGATTATATTTATTTCTGCATGGCAACATCCCCCTTTAAAAATACCAAGCAAAAAGCAGTTCTGTGACATACAATATAATCATGTAACTCCTCTTGGACTAGTAGTACATCCTTCCTTCATCAAAAGTAAATCAATCTAACCCAAAGTACATACTCCAACTTTTTCCCCTAATCACTTGAAATCCTACATATCACATACAATAAAATCCAAGAACCTCAAATGTAAATGGAAGAGCCGACTGATCTCAAAAATGTATTGTGAACTGCTAGGACTTCTGATAACTCCCGAGTTGGCACTCATGAACTTGGAGACTTTCTAACATCTTTTAAGAGCTTGAAAAACCTTAAGAGAGCCATCATCTAAGAGGATTTGAAGGTCTACAATATGCTTTAAGTGGTTATTTACAAGAGAACAAGACTTATGGACTGGGATTTGGATGATTAAGATTCAGACCTCTATTAAGTGCAAATAAATGAGACCTTAGCCCCTCTAGCTTATTTTAATTAAGATGAATTCTAAGGGTACTTTGGTAAATTACTTAAATCAAATGTAATCCCAAGCATAAATAGTTTGCCACTAGGGTTATAGTTCATTAGTTTTTGTTGATTGAAATATTGAGGCTCCTTGTGAGTGTAAAGGGAAGAAGCCTTGTATCTCTTCATTGAAACTCTGTTTGATTCTCCTATGAAAGGAATTTCATGTATCGGTTCAATTCTCTTCCCCCTTGATTTTAATCTAGTCATTGAATGTTAGTTTGATTATTAGATTAACCCTTCTTTTTCCAATCTATCCTTATTTTCAATCTCTCTCTTGAATGTTTACTTGAATTCCTTGTTCGTAACATTTATTTTTATCAACTTCAAATTTTTCTTCTTTCGCTTTTCTCAAATGCTTCGCTAAATTGGTAAAGTCAGATAATAAAGGAATGCAAGATTTTTTTTTTACCCCAATTAATCATACAGTGAAGGGCATCATTAGTAATCTAAGTTACTGGACCATTAGGAGGATAAAATAAAAAATGGCAGCCCGGTGCACTAAGCTCCCGCTATGCGCGGGGTCCGGACCACAAGGGTCTATTGTACGCAACCTTACCTTGCATTTTTGCAAGAGGCTTTTTCCACGGCTCGATAAAATGATTTCCAAAAAACAACTAGAAAATAAGATGTTTATACAAAGGAAGCAGCTTCCAATTGGATTTGTGAATGCCAAACAGAACTGAAAATATTGCTACTCCCTCCGTTTCAATTTAGATGAGGTAGTTTGACTCGGCACGGAGTTTAAGAAAATAAAAACTTTTGAAACTTGTGGTCTTAAAAGCTTAAGGGGTAAAAGTTTCGTGGGACCATAACATTTGTGTGGTAATAAAAGTTTCTCATTAAGGGTAAAATAGGTAAAATGAAAGTTTAAAGTTAAATTATTTTCAAATTTAGAAATGTGTCACTTATTTTGGAACCGATTAAGAAGGAAAGTACCTCATCTAATTTGAACAGATAGAGTAGTATTTTATTTTTTTTTTAAAACCGTGGTGTTCGGGCCAACTTGCGCGCACCTCGACTAATTCCACGGGATACCTGCCACCTCCCACCAGCAATATGTACCAGGTAACTCTATCCACCAAGGCTTGGATAGATGGAAGAAGTCACCTAATATTTGCCTCCGCTAGGATTTGAACCTGAGACCTCATGGTTCTCACCCACTTCATTGACCACTAGGCCACACCCTTGGGTGCACTATTTTTATTTTTTTGATGAAGGGAATTTCATTAAATGGCATCAAGAAGATGCATAGCAAGAATTACAAGTCATATACAAAAACTTACAGGACAACTAAGGAGCAGACAAAATCCAGAAAAAGTGACACTAGTTACAAGGGCCTGATTGAACTAACTAAATAAGTTAATTAAACAAGTGGCTTCAAGGGTGTGGTTGGGAGTTGAAATCCCATCAAAATATCTATGATTCCTTTCATTCCAAATACTCCAAAAAATAGCACCAGATACCATTGACCAAGTTATTTTGATGGATTTCCCAACTCTCCATGACACCAACTCGCATAAGCTTCCTTAATACTATTTGGCATAACCCAGGCAAGACCAAAACATTCTCCAATTGTCAGCTACTACTGAATAGTGCAAAAAAAGATGCCTCACTCTCAGATTCCACCTGGCACATATAACATCTATTCACAGTCGGTATAATCCTTCTGCTAAGATTGTCTTGAGTAAGACAAGCTTCATACAATATTGTCCACATAAAACCAACTACTTTTTAGGTAGTTTTGTTTTCCATATAAGCTTCCATGGCCATTTGTCCATCAATTCCTTGTTGGAGCATAGATTATCATATCCTCTTTTGACAATATAGATTCTCTCTTTTGATTCACCCATTCCAACCTATCCAGCACCTGGGAGTTGATATTTGACATTAGCACTTGATAATTTATTGAGCAAACCTAGCAGATCATTCAACTCCCAAAGGATGTCCCTTTTGAAATGTGGAGCCCAAGCACTATTTTGCCAATAATGTGAGATAGTTGCATCTTTATTACTAGCAAGTAAAACTAAAGCTGGAAATTCATATTTCAAGACCTCTGTCCCTGGCCATTTATCTCTCCAGAAAGAGATATGAGCCCCATTCCCTAGCTTGAGTGATGACTTGAGCTTGAATTCTCCCCAAAGCTTTGCTAGTATTCTTGCTCATAGATATGGAAGTTGAGATGGTATAAATAATCACAACATTAATGGAGCTTATAGCAGCTTTATTATCTTATCGGACTAAGTCAATTCATTTTTCAGCAAAAGAGAGTGGACAGGTTAAGGCCCGTGTTATCAACTGTTTAGTGTTGCCCCTTCATAATTATGTTCATTAGCAAGGAAAAGTACGTCTTAAAGCCTTGATGACGACACTGAAGTGCCCGCTAAGGGAGGCAAAGCGCTCAACATATTTTGTGCCTTGTTTAAGGGCTTAAGCCCGCTTTAAACGCGCCTTTGATAAAACTGGCTAAGGCTATATTTTGTGTGGGACACGGTGGTAATAAAGAGTACAATTACTGCTAGTCTTTGCAAGCCATCACTTTTCATCTGAAGAATGGATGCACCATGTCATTGTTTACTCTGCATATCATATACGGCTCCAGAAATGACCTGGAAGGAGAGTTTTAAGGTAACACCTCACATCGGCCAATTGGTCTCTCCTTTGGATCTTGCCAAGGGATCTAAAATCATAAGTGTAGAGGGAAAAGAAGCGGCGCTATTTTTCATTATTAAACTTTGCAAGTTTTTAACGATTGCTTAGAGGATACTGATGTGAAGGATCTTGCTAGGCCTTTTAATATACCTAGATCCCAAGAACAGGAAAAGGAAGAATCACCAATAAAACTGGAATCCATGGGATCAACCTAAGTCTTGGAAAGCTTTATTGAAACTATAGAGAAAATTTAAGGCAAAAAGGTGTTTAAACATTTCCAAGAGACCCAATTTGGTTGTACAGCGTCAAGAGTCACATAAGCTAGAGCCCAGCTACGGCAAATTGCAAAAGCAGCTTTGCAAAAAGCCTTTAGACCGAAACACTGTTCAGCAGGAGAGGCAAGCTTTTTTTTATAGGTAATGTAAGGATATTATTGATGTAAAAAACCAGCACTACGGGAATGTCGTGGAACAGTACATCCAAAGGGAACTTTATAGTGTGTAAAAAAGAACTGAAAAAGTCAATCATGGAATCCGGCTCTAATACACTTAGTTGTAGCCCTATTGCACCAAAAAAACAACAACAACAACAACAACAAAGTGTAATCCCGCAAGTGGGGTCCAAGAAGGGTAGAGGTAGAGAGGCTATTTCAGATAGACCCCCGACTCAAGGAACAATGAAAAAAGGAAGCAGTAACAACAGTCAGTAATATCAACAAGATAGCAAGAAAACCGAAGCGAAAGAAACAACAGATAGTAATAGAAATCGAAAAATAAGAAAGTACAAAACTAATACTAATACTACTGCCATGGACAAGGAAAACACACGACTATCCACTAACCTTCTACCCTAATTCTCGACCTCCACACCCTCCTATCAAGAGTCATGTCCTTGATAAGCTGAAGCAACGACATGTCTTGCCTAATCACCTCTCCCAATACTTCTTTGGCCTAACCTCTACCTCTCCTCAAACCCACCAAGGCCAACCTCTCACACCTCCTAGCTAGGGCATCAATGTCTCTCTTCTTCACATGCTCGAACCGTCTAAGCCTCGCTTCCCGCATCTTTGTCCTCCACGGGGCCGCACGCACCTTGTCCCCAATATCTTCGTTCTTAATCTTATCTATCCTGGTATGCCCGCACATTCATCTCAACATCCTCATTTCTGCCACCTTCATTCTCATTTCTGCCACCCTATTGCACCAAACACTAAGCAAAAATATACACTTGAATTGTAGATTAACTACATTGTCCTTCATATCTTCACAAACTCTAGAATTTCTTTCCTTTCATCTAACCCACCATACCACTTCTAGAATAGACATCGAAGTGTCCCTAGATAATTTAAGCATGTCCAACTTGTGCAAGAAAGGAGATCCAGAGTACTTTTTTGGCAAGCTATCTTCCACGTGCAGATTTATTTTAGACTAAAACAATCTTATAAATCAAATGCAAAGGTTAGATGGCTTCAACAGAAGGATGATAATGTTTTTGAGAAGAAAAAAAAATAATGGTTTTCAGAAAGAAGGCGTTGGGTTCTACGATCTGAGATCAAAAGACAAACGAGATGCATAGTTTGCCATCCTTCAGAATTTCATTCATAATAGATTGAATGTTGAAGAGCAGGTTAAGCTGCACAAAATATCAAACAAGTGAAATCAAAGAAGTTCTCTTCAACTTGAAGAAAGGTAAGGACGGAAACAGAAGTGTGTATGTATGAATTTTTTCACAGCAAATTGGGATTTTGGGTGTTCCGATTTCATTTCCGTTGTTGTTAACTTCTAATTTATCCGTAACTGTTACATGTTGTTAACTCCTCTCCTAGACACTGGTGCACACATGGTATTCAGAACTATAGCCGGTCGTAATGAACTCTATAAGGTTATGTCTAAAGCTACTAATGATAGACTGCAAAGAGGTTTATGCTGATCTGCTAAGCAATAGCCAGTGAAACTAGCTGAGAAAATAACAAAACGAGGGTGGGACAATGTGCTCTAAGGATTGACATCATGCAGCTACATGAGATAATAAATTGGGGAATCCTGGTGCTATACTCGGCATATTTGAATTTCTCCAATTGCTTGTCAATTGCATTGATACTTGTCAGCTAATACAAGATTCTCAGTGTGTCTAGATGGTGCTCCAGTGGGATATTTGGCTGTAGTTGAGGACTTGGAGACTTGGACAGGGGAGCATATCCGTCCCGGCTCACTGCTACTAGGAATGGAGGTATTCATAGGCATTTACCAACATAAGCTTCCATGCTCCTACTTCTGATTTTCATCAGAGATGTCAAGAGAGACAGCTAGTACACACATTCACACAGTTTTGGCAATATTGGACCCACTGAGCTGTCAATTCCCTTTATCAAGACTTGCTGCATGATTTTCAAGAGCTTTAAGACTTAAGTTGAAACTTGCAAAAGAATTGTGCTTATGTTTCACGAGTATCAAATGAGGAAGGAAGACTTGGTTGGATTGATTGGTTTGCTTATAGCAACTACCATCAGAGTACCTCTACTTCTAGCAAGCTGAACAACTAAGCCAACATGAACTAGTTGAGGATATCATTAGCAGAACCAGAGGATGGGAAAATAAGACACTGATGTATGCTGAGCGAGTTCACTTAATTAATTAGCTGCATGCCATATCCAAGCATGCTTAACAAATATCAGCATACTGCCTAAGAAAGTCCCTGCAAATTAAGAATGTCAGATCTTTCTGTGGTTTGCTAGACGTGAAGACATCATAGCAAAGACCTGTATTTGACTGGGATAAAAAAAATGGAATAAAGCTTCCATATGAGACACATTCGGTCAATTTATAGCAAGAAGATACCATGTCTTTTAATGGGTAAACACTGGTTAGTAAAGGAAATTTTTTCCGGAAGTAAAGATGCGTGCTGATTGTTCCTGGGTTTGAAGAAGTTGCTCACAATCAGCTGAGTGCTGCAATGCATTCCTATGAGATTTCTAGTAGGATATAGTTGTTACATTTCCTATGCCTTGACCCACAGCATAAACTGAGTCCTCTCCACTTGGTTTTTTGTTTTTTCCAATTTTGTCACCAAGCTTGGGGATAAGTACCGGCGCTGCAGTCAGTGACTCCATACAAGATGGAGGATAAGAACAGTCTAGGAGCTCCAACATTGCTACCACTATCACCTCCAATACTGATTCTAAGGATTCTCTTACATGTCCAACTAGTGAATAAAGTTGGAACACACTTGTGCATCAATTGTTTCACCTAAGAATCAAAAAACTTATGGAGGCTAGTTTGGTTCAAGCAACTCCAATGGTTAGTTTGCTATAGTCAGTGGTTAATTAGATTGAAAGCAATAGTGTAGAACAAACACAGAAGAGTTGTTACAGCTTCAAAGATGAGGGAAAAAATGAAATGACTGAATTATCAATAACTAAAAGTGCTTAAAAGAAAACATATTAGCAGCAGCTTATACATGCATCAAAATTACAAGTAATTCAACGAAGAGAACACAGCCTTCAAAGCACTTATACGAATAACAACGAAAGATAATGAGTACTTTTATATAACATGAGAGGCCAGGGAAGTAAAACTTTCAATACCGTTGGTTTGAATAGTAACTCCTAATCATGCCAATGCCAAATTCTACTCACAAGGACTGGATCAATAACCAATATAGCTCGGGTCTCCAGTATACTCAGCAATTTGTTCAAGTCGCACTTTGAGTAACTCCTTCGTATCACCATCTCGGACAGTTGCAGTCTCATTCTCACTATCCTTCTCAACCAAGTGTCCATAAACACCTTTGTGCCTACCATACAGAACCAGAACGGGACCACCACGCTTTGGCAGAGCTGTCTCAAGCAAGTCCTGATCCACACTTTGTATCAACTCCCTAGTTTCATCCAAACATATATCACAAGTCGTCGGCCCTACCACATCCATAATTTCCCCTTTCTGTAGATGCAACCTTCCCCTTTTCAAATCCCTACTTATAATCCTAACTCTAATGTGACTAGCAAGCCAAGATACTTTATCACTCCTTTCATCTCTACTTCTTCTGCTGTCCTTTTTCCGCTCCGTTGTTGCTTCATCTCTACCTCTACCATCAAAAGACTGCTTTCTAACCCCATCATTACTATAACTCTTTTCTCCTCTAACCTTCAATTCTTTCAACTTTTTCAAACACCTCTCCTCTTCCACTGAACCCAATTCAGCCACGTCCCGTGCCTGAAGTTTCACCTCTTCGTCTCGTTTCGCAAGCTTTAAAATTACTAAATCCCCATCGCTTTTCACCTCCAAAACTCTTCCTTTCATTCCCATATCTTTTCCTCTCACTACCCTCACTTCCTTCCCTACGTATATTCTTTTCCCTCCCTTTTCCCTATCTTTCTTCCCACCATTAACATCACTATGATCTCCCTTAACACCTCCTTCATCCTTCTTACTACTTTGTTTTGGTTCTGGTATTTCAGGTGTGAATCCAATGCCTTCTTTTGCTGTCCACCTTTTATACTCAACAGCTTTAACATCTTCTTTAGCATTCCTACCTATCCCTCTACCTTCAACCCACCCATAACCTTTTAACAAAGCAGCCCCAAACTCCTCCACCGGCATATCAGTAAATTCATCTATCCCGTTGTGATCTGGTAACCTCTTCATATCTTCTTTAAACTGACGCGCCATTGGATCAATCATTTGGCTGGGGTTAGGGTTAGGGTTAGGGTTTTCGGATTGGCGGAGATTGAGGCCGTAAGAGATGGAATCTGACGACGGATCGACAGCAGTGCCGCCAGTGTCAAGTTCGAATTGGAGCGGTTGATCGGCGGAAGCGGGTTGGAGAGGGAGTTCAAGATTTTTCATCCGTTTGATAGGGCGCCATTCGTTAGGTTTTGGAGGTATTATGAGTGCGTCTTTGGTGGAACTCGCCGGAGGTTTGGATGGGTCGAATTCAGTGACGTACTCTTTATCAGTGGGGGTGGTGGAGTTGTTGCGGGGATCATCGCTGGAGGGGAAGGTCTGAGAAGAAGACGGCGGCTGCTTTTTTAGGTTTGAAGATGGCTTTGAAGAGAGAGAAAACGAAAGCTTCATTGTCGCATGAATCGGAGTCGGCGATCGGAAACTTCAACGTCGGCGAATTTGCCCAAAACCGGAGAAAGGGGTAACCAATAGCGGAATGGTTGATGTGTGAGTTGATTCGAAGGAGTTTATTACTTTGTTAAAAGGTGATAATGCGGTACAAAACCTTAGCCACTTTGGAATGAAATTGGATTTGTGTGTGATTATATAACTTTGGTGTATTAACAAGCAGTTTACTAGTACTATAGTTTTTGCGTGTTGCGTTTAGCCAAGTAATTACGAGTCCGGAACCAAAATAATGCATTTTTGGTTTCGAGACACAAAAATAGGTGGAAAAAAAAAGTTAGTGCCCAAAATACATATAGCGCCTTAACGGCCGTTTGCCCGTTAAGGTATAGCGCCCTTTAAAAGGGCGTTATACATATAGCACCTTTTATAATGGCGATATAACTAGGTATAGCGCCGTCTATTAATCGCTATACATATTTTGTTGGCCCACCAATAATTATTATGCGCTTAACTGACATAACAATTATTCAAATGGGTATAACGCCATTATTTAAGGCGCTATATCTCAAAAAATTCGACCCCCAGATTGGGCATTGCCTTATTTAAAGACGTTAAGGATTTTGTAAAAATTCATTGAGAAAATTTTTCAAGTCTTGTTAAATTTTTCTTCGTTAAGTTGTTTTGCATTTTATCATAATGTCTGAAGAGCGAAGAATTAGGGTTTCATTATATTGGGGGGTGAGGTTGTGGTGGCGAATAACTCAGTAAGTTATAGTTTATCTTCACAGTGTCATGTTAGGTTGCCAATTACAATGGAGTATGATAGATTGGTATCGTTGTTATGTAAAAAAAATGAGTATGAGCAAACGTTCGGTGAACCTTAAAGTAACCGGAAGATATCCGTATTCTGTCACTCCGTAAGGGGTTGCTTGTTATGCTGAGTTTAACATCGAGTATGATGAAATTATGAGTGATTTTTTGAGGACTCCGGATGAATATCGGGAATTTTTTTTGATAAAAATATTGGAAATGCACGTCAAGGCTGAAGACGTTTGCAATAATGAGGTTGCGCAAAGCAGGGATATCCCTCAGTCATCGGGTGGTTATTTTGGAGTAGTTTTAGCCGAACAGGTTCGGGCTGAAAGAGTTTGGCCTGATCTAAACTTATTTCCACGAGCGAATGAGGAGTGAGGAAATAATTTCTCTCCTACTTTACATTATCCACAAGACGAGTGGTAAACTTCAATTTTCCTTTGTGTTACGATTTTTTTTTTGCTGTATTAAATTTATATTAACACTCATATATTCCACAGGGGGTACCGGCCAGATATGAATTTTACAAGTTATGAACCAACGCCCAGTTGGAATATGCGTAGTTCTGGTGTGTTGGATCATGGTGGTCCATCCGGGAGTCATCACCAACAAGATGATGTCCATCATGAAATGTCAACACATTACGATTTGTAAGTGAAGTGATATAGCTATATGTAAAGTAGTTATCAATTTGAGTAACTCATTATTTTGTTGGTTGTGCAGTGAAAACGAGCAACTTGAACGTCCTGTCCTGACTCAATTGCCCGAAAACAACATATTTAATCGGGATCTGGCAGATGCACAGAGTTAGGAAGAGAACAGTGATTATGACAACAATGCCGATGAGTCCGAAGATGGCACACCCTTCCCTGACGAGGGTGATGAGGAGGAGGAAGAGAATGCTGGACCTGATTTGATGAGGGAGCATGATCCACCCCCCGTTAGACCAAGAGTGTACGAGTCCCACATGCCGTTTCATTCAAGGGAGATTCCCTACCTTGATCATTTGCCAAATATGTCGGATGTGGATGCCCTCGCAAGGGATACTAATGAAATTCGGATGGCAATGTGGGATGAGTCTAGACCAACGGTGCTGTCAAATGACATACTTTTTCCTAATAAAGCGCGTCTAAGCAGGGCGGTAAAAATGTACAGCGTAAAAGAGTGTCATGAGATGACGGTATGGAGTCAACTCCGGATGTATACAAGGTTGTTTGTCGTAGATGGTTTACGGGTTGTAATTGGATGTTGTGTGCGAAGAAGAAGAAAACAAATATGTGGGTTGTGGGTAAATACATTGGCACCCACAATTGTGAAATGTACACATTCAATGGGAATCACTTCAACTTGGATGTTGACTTAATTTCTCTTGTCTTGATTCCACACATTGAAGCGTCCATAAGGTACAAAATCAAAGAGTGTATTACATCCGTCCACCAGGAATATAGGTGCACCATTACTAAAAGAAAGACATTTCTCGGGCGCAAAAGCGTTTGAAATTGCTTATGGTAACTAGGATAAGTCATTTGCATCTCTACCCAGGTACATGGACGCATTACAACACTTTAACCCCGGGACTGTTGTTGAATGGAAGCTTGAGCAGAGTCCGGGAATACCAGAATATATATATTCAGATACGTGTTCTGGGCATTTAAACCAACAATTGATGGTTTTGTGCATTGCTGGTCGGTAATATCCATAGACGACACTCATGTCTATGGAAAGTATGATATTAAGTTGTTGATCGTCGTTGCAGTAGATGCTAATAGAAGTATATTTCCTTAGCTTTTGCTATTTGTGCCAATGAAAGCCAAGAGACGTGGACACTATTTTTTAACCACTTGAAATAGCGCGTTATCAAACAGCGTTCAGGTATTTGTCTAATATCTGATCAGCATGATGGTATTTTAAGTTTTGTACAGAATTTGTGTGCATGGCAGGAACCGTATGCCTACCATCGTTGCTGTGTGAGGCACCTGAATGCCAATTTCCATAAGGCATATCCCAACACGGATTTGCATGATTTAATGTGGATGGCTGCAACAGATCACCAAGAGTGTAAATTCAGGAGGCGCATGTAATCTATCAGGCAGGAAGACGAGGGAGCCTATCATTAGTTGTACTGAATTTAAATTATGTTAAGTTACTATGTTTGTATTTGTGTTGTAGTATTAAAATAATAAAGAACCGGAGAAATAAAAACATAATGCGCATATAATGTAAATAATAAAAATTATTGCAATTATTTAAAGAATGTCATATGTATATAAAATACAAAAACAATCAAGGCGTCCCACATCATGTATGCTTTAATGCAGTCGTTGGCCGGAGGCGCATCCCATCCCGGCCAGCTACGCTATCAGGATCATCCTCATCACATCGCCTCTTTATCGGAAGATGTGTTGCAGTATGATCATCAGTAGGGCTGGCAGGCTCGGTAGAAGGGGTTGTCTGTCCATCAGTAACCTATAGAATAATAAGATATTTCAGTATATTAAAATATATATTTGTAATGTACGTGTTAAGCGACAAAAATTTAAATTGTCTGTCTCATCGAACTCCTGAATATAATCATCCGGCACAGCCAGGTCAGTATCACACAAAGTGGCCTCCGTGACGGGCGATGATTAAGCCTTAATAAAAAAACATAAAGATATTTATGGCTAATCAATGAGATAAAAACAAATTTAAATGTAATAGTAATACAAACATACTTGCGCCTGTGAAAGATCCCCAGAGCCCTCGATGATGAGCCATAACTCAGTCGGCGCCCACTATCCACATCTCGTGCCGGCCGATCATCAGCAACGGTGGATGGGCCTGGAAGATCAGGAAAATATTGATCCCCACCCTCTCGCGTAATGCACGTGCCCGTGATCAACAATGGAGTTGACGAGGTCACCTGTGAAGTCCCTGGAGTGAGCTGAAGCTGAAGGTTGAATGACGGCATGCTGCTGTGAGAGTGGTCTAGCTCATGGAGGTCACCCACGTGATCAACTCCAACATCCTCAACAGGTGCCTCAACGCCCCCTCGCTGGGGACCACCTCCTCGCCGACCCCCACGACCTCGTGAGATACCCCTACCTCATGGGGCACACCTGCCACGTCGACCACGTTCCGGCCCCACTGGTGGCCCACGATGGTACTGCTCTGGCATCACATACTTAGACTTGTATCCTAATCGCTCATCATCTCGAGCTGGCCTCAATGTCTGGGGAAGCTAGATCGGTAACCTGCCGGCCATACTCATGCAAAGCGGCTGCTCCCTCGCTGGTATGATGCTGCATCGGCAGTCCCAACTGGTGTAACAGATGTAGGCCAATAGCCTGCACAACATGTAAAATATAAATTATAGAACACTAGGTTAACGTTATAAGTAAGTATACCAAATAACATACCAGTGCCTCGTGCCTCCCGGTGTATGGAACGTACCGACTGCCAGTGCGATAAATGGGATTTCCGACGAAAAGTCGGGTAACACTGCGGTACCAGCCCATATAATCATGCTCAGTCTCTGTCCGGTCAGGTGAAAGGGGGCAGAATCAGGTCATGTCGCTGGTCCCAAGTATCGATCTGCCTCTAGCCATGCCATATATGTCCGGTCCACCCTGGAACGATCATCCCACTGGTAATATGTGATATGCCAGGCGGGGGGTGGCGGTACAAGCTGCGGGCGGCCAAACTGGAGAAGTACTCGCTCGATGGCATGATTCTCTACAATATCAAGGCACATCAACGGGACGGAAGAGCTCCACATAATTCGGCCGGCCGAGTAATAATCGGGCAAACTAGCTATTAACTCGTCGATGTATGGCCTCCAAATGAACTATTAAGTAACAACAGAAAACGTGAGTATACGCAATACATATGAAGCCAGGCCAAGTAAACTTAGGTATACATTTACCTGTGTGCCCTCCAGCAAATCCAACAAATCCCTTCACAAAGGGAGATTGTGTCGAGCCTCGTACTCTCGTCCATATCCCCGCCCAACAACCCACCTCCTAGCTAGAGGGAGAAACGGAGGTGGTGCACCCGGAGCTAATGGTGGTAGAGATGGTTGCAACTGTAGGAACCGCTCCTAGACCCAAACCTAACATACAAAGTGGACGTAAAATTTAAGGTATATTTTTACTGGGTATGTTATAATGAATAAAGTATTCGAATATGTTTTCACATGTAGCAGCGATAAAAATCCAGCAACGTCACGCTGGGTGCCCATGCTCGCCCGGCACATCTACCTATACAAGTAGTCGAGAACAGCAACACCCCAGCTGTACTGGGGTAAATCATCTAGCCGCTCAAGAAGATGAAGAAATCTCAAGCTGACTAGGTTCCCCGAAGTGTTCGGGAACAAAACCCCTCCAAACA